TTTGACATCATTATTTGTCATGGTTCCATTATTGGTGCTTCTAGGTTTTCTTTAGGGTGTCATGGTGTCATGAGGACATTGGCAACGATGTCTTAAAATTGGGGGGGGGGGGGGGGTGACAACCCCTCTATTGTCTCCACCCATGATGTCATGAGGACATTGCCGCACAAAACTTTTGTTGATGCGCTCTACTTAGTCATCTCACATTTACACGTTGGGGATCTTGTTGCACAAAATTATTGTGTCCATCGTCCACTTTAACTATTTCACCATTATATAGTATGTAACATCGTCCTAAACACTATCTCCCTTATAAATCATAGATAATAAGTACTTAAAATTCTTCTTTAGGTGTAGTACTTTCTCCTCGATACATACTTCTCACCAATCATTACATTTCATGTTGAAATTGCACCAAATATATATCGTCTAAAATATGTTGATTTGTAACCCCCTTTCTTCCAACCTAAAATTCAGCTAAGTTCTAGTCTCTACCACCAACACAATGTTACCAAAGATAAATGTGCTTGAATACTCCATGTCACCAAAGAAAGTTTGAACAAAGGTTATACAACACCATTACATATCCTATATTCTATTGGTCCCCATCTAGCTTCCACAATCCCCCAAATCTTCTCTCATGGTACAATATCATACACTTTCTCTAAGATAAACACCATTTGTAGATCAATATTTCCATCAATAACTTGTGTTAAAACATGATTAACTTAAAACACTACATTATTACAATGATAACTTATATTTTTTAATAAAAGATAAAGGATGTATGCATTAAAAACACAATTTGGTCAACTTATGGCCCGTTTAAATTCGAACAATTACAAGTTACAACCTAATTTACAAGAATGCATGAGCAAATGTGTATATCGGTCTCTCTTATTACAGGGCCTAAATTTTTAAGCATGATAGAAGTGAAAGGACTTGCAAATTGCCCCTGAAACTGAAAGCACCAAAATTTTCAAATCTGTTCATTTGTTATCTATACATATTTTGAACCTTTTGCATAAGTAAAACAATCGCACATAATGCAGGAATGATAGATCTTACATGGATTTGTGTGTTGATCATTTGTAGACCTTTGTATTCCCATGACTTTATTTACCACTTGGGAATTTGGTGACAATTATTGTGAAATGGAGATGAATATATATATATATATATATATATATATATATATATATATATGGTATTACATTTGAAGAAGATTATTCACAGTAACAGAAGCTGACATTGTTCGCTCTAAATCCTGCAAATTGATTAAACCATTATAATGTTTTTGACGACATACAAAAGAATTCCATAAGAGTATTTTGGGACTATAATATAATGTATGAAATTGTTCACATGCATGATTATATTACGAGGGACATGAGGAAGTACTTCACGAACAATTTCAGCCATTTCAAACATACGTCTTAAATCCTGATATGTAAGATGTAATCCAACCCTATTGAGAGAATCATCAGGAACCACTGTAATCATCAAGAAATATAACATAATATTTGATGCCACTAATACTCGTGACCGGACAGGTTCATATCAGAGTGAATAAGATACGGAGAATGCAAAACAGAATTAGATAAAGAAAAAGGTAATTTAACATGTTTGCACATTTGACATGATTGACATAAAGTAGAAATTTTATTATTGCTTGAACAAGAAATAGAACGACTATCAACTAAAGACTTGAAGACTTGACGACTGATATATCGAAGACGCAAATGTCAAATAAACGGAGCAGCAGAGAGAAACGCTTGAGGAGAAGGATTTGTGACAGGGTAGAGCTCACTGGTTCTATCACATCGCATGAGAGTTTCGTTGGTTTGAAGGTCTTTCACAGTAAAACCAAACAGGTCAAATTCAATAGAAACCATATTGTCACAAGTGAAACGACGCACATAAATTAAGTTTGTAATAATTTGAGTGATCAAAATATTTTTCAAATGAAGAGCAAGATATGGATTTGGAAGAGAGGAGTTGCCAACTTGACTTATAGGAATCGAAGAACCGTCACCTACCAAAACAGATGAAGAAAATTACTGCAATTATTTGAGACGGTTTTGAGAGTACCATGGTTGGCGTGTAGATGCGAGGTAGCACCAATGTCCATGTGACATCCTCTAATTTTCAGAACCAATTATAACTTTTCTTTACGCTTTAAAAATCATTTATTTATATTTGCAGAAAATCCCAGTACAAAAGATCATTTTGATTACAAATGTTTGTTTCCAAGATGTTAAAACCCTAAGGATGTCATAATCAATACAAATACACAAGCTACAGCGTAATGACCTGATGGTCCTTAATACTATTGCAGGTTGTCTCTTAATCACTCATCATCTTAATCAAGTTCCAGTGGCTTAAGTCTTGATACCTGACATGTATATGAACTGAGTGGGTCAGGTTGGGAAACCTGTGGACCTGGTGAGATACATGAGGATTTCAATCCCACGATATTGATATGATAATATTCCATAATTATCAGACATGCAAACCAACCGTTACCATTAGGGGTGAGCAAAAACCGCACCGCAACTAAAATTAACCGCATAAACCGCAACCGCAATAAAAACCGATGGTGAGGTTTTCTATTTTTCAAAAACCGCAAATTTGCGGAGCGGTGCGGTTATTAGTTTTCATAAATCGCAAAAAAAAACCGCACTGCACCGCATATATTATATACAATTTTTTATTAATTATTAATATATTTAATAATCAAAATAAGACAAGTTTCATGGATGAAAGATGGATAAAATACTAGAAGACAAAAGTGTTGGTTTTTTGTTATGTTTAACTTTGAAAAATGGTGAAATTGGACAATTTTAAGATATTTATTGTTAATTATTATTGATTTGACGTTTTTAAGATATTAGTTGTTTGTGATTTAAGTTAATTGTCTTATACCTTATGGTTTTTTTATCATTACAAGTAATATGTTTGAACTCTTAAAATTGTTTGAGCTCTAAACTGTGGTTAAAAACCATACAAAATAACCGCACCAAATCCACGCGGTTAATAACCGCAACACAAAAAAAACAAAGCGCACCGCAAAAATAACCGCACCAAGCGGTTTTGAAAATGGATTAACCGCATTTGCGGTTAGTGGTGAGGTTTTGGTTAATAACTACACCGAACCGCACCGCGCTCACCCCTAGTTACCATACAATAACCATTCTTACATATTCATTCCTACCGATCCTCACAGATCCTAGACTATCCATTTCTATCGATCCTCACAGATCCTAGACTCTCCGTTTCTATCGATCCTCACATATCCTAAACAGTGATATCAAAGAGAAATTATATCGCCTGATGAATCGTTGACTACACAGATAAGGGCTTCATTTGACGGTGTAAGTCATAAAGGCTTATGGGTCGTCAGAGTATTTGATGAATATGGTTTTCCAATTCATCTACGTTTGTGAGTAATGAGCTCACACTAGCAATGTAATTCACAAGATCGTCTAGAATGATCAATTGTTGTCACCTACTCTGGGGGTGACCAAATATACTGCTAACAATTGCCTGATCGAGACCCACCATTTCTGGTCATCCTGTATGAAGCTACCATACATCGACGCCAGATAGTGCCATAGAACAGAACTTTACTCTCCGTTCCTAGGTTACGCACATTCTCCTAGTGAGACTACCTAATATCAAACTTAAATGAGCTAGGTATCTTCCATGAGTCTAAGTTTATCCCTAGACTAGATCATAGTGCCTAAAACCAACTTTTTAATACCAACTCTATTCTTAGGCGACACTAACCTATCTCTGTGTGTGTGTGTGTATGTGTGTGTGTGTGTATTCCATAAGAGTATTAGGTATTATTAATCATTTATCTTCTCAACGATTTTTACCTTGAATATTATTATATATTATTATCTATTTATTCTAACATAAAAATAAAACCTTCTCTTGTCTCCACCCATGGTGTTATGAGGACATTGTCGCACAAAACTTTTGTTGATACGCTCTACTTAGTCATCTCACATTTACACGTTGGGGATCTTGTTGCACAAAATTATTGTGTCCATCGTCCACTTTAACTATTTCACCATTATATAGTATGTAACATCGTCCTAAACACTATCTCCCTTATAAATCATAGATAATAAGTACTTAAAATTCTTCTTTAGGTGTAGTACTTTCTCCTCGATACATACTTCTCACCAATCATTACATTTCATGTTGAAATTGCACCAAAGATATATCGTCTAAAATATGTTGATTTGTAACCCCCTTTCTTCCAACCTAAAATTCAGCTAAGTTCTAGTCTCTACCACCAACACAATGTTAGCAAAGATAAATGTGCTTGAATACTCCATGTCACCAAAGAAAGTTTGAGCAAAGCCATTACATATCCCATATTCTATTGGTCCCCATCTAGCTTCCACAATCCCCCAAATCTTCTCTCATGGTACAATATCATACACTTTCTCTAAGATAAACACCATTTGTAGATCAATATTTCCATCAATAACTTGTGTTAAAACATGATTAACTTAAAACCCTACATTATTACAATGATAAACTTATATTTTTTAATAAAACATAAAGGATGTATGCATTAAAAACACAATTTGGTCAACTTATGACCCGTTTAAATTCGAACAATTACAACCTAATTTACAAGAATGCATGAGCAAATGTGTATATCAGTCTCTCTTATTACAGGGCCTAAATTTACAAGCATGATAGAAGTGAAAGGACTTGCAAATTGCCCCTGAAACTGAAAGCACCAAACTTTTCAAATCTATTCACTTGTTATCTATACATATTTTGGACCTTTTGCATAAGTAAAACAATCAGGAAGGATAGATCTTACATGGATTTGTGTGTTGATCATTTGTATACCTTTGTATTCCCATGACTTTATTTACCACTTGGGAATTTGGTGACAATTATTGTGAAATGGAGATGAAAATATATATATATATATATATATATATATATATATATATATATATATATATATATATGGTATTACATTTGAAGAAGATTATTCACAGTAACAGAAGCTGACATTGTTCGCTCTAAATCCTGCAAATTGATTAAAATTAAACCATTATACTGTTTTTGATGACTTACAAAACAATTCCATAAGGGTATTTTGGGAATATAATATAATGTATGAAAATGTTCACCTGCATGATTATATTACGAGGGACATGAGGAAGCACTTCACGAACAATTTCAGCCATTTCAACCATACGTCTTAAATCCTGATATGTAAGATGTAATCCAACCCTATTGAGAGAATCATCAGGAACCACTGTGGGAGCATGATTATGAACAGGAGCATTTGAAGAAGAAGAAGATGATGACGTGGCATGAAAAGCATTAATAGGCCAGAAGTTCCATGAAGATAGAGTGGTATGAGTATGTCCATGTGGATTTTGCCATTCAAGTGCAGAGCTTAATTCACGTGCAATTTGCTCATCATTTGAAATATCTTCAGTATTCGGTGTAATATTTCCAAAAAGAGGTTTTCGACATGTGGGACATGAGTAATACTCTCTTTGACCTTGGTCCAACCTGGCATTGACATTTGACACGTGTCATTCATTTGAAAGCATACATAAGTTACTATAGTTTAGGATTTTACCATGATCTGAGGCATGAAAGATGAAAAAGATGATTGCATGTGAGCTTTTTAGCCTTAGTCATTGGTTCCTGTTAGAGTTACATGCAATGTGAAAGAAAAATAGATAAAACTTTTTTTTTAAAAAAGAAAAAAAAAATTAAGTTGAAGTTTACACGACAAATGGCACATTCATCATCATAAGACTTAATCTCTGCAGATGTTGCATCAGGTAGAGCTCCATTAAGGGTGGCTAAAGCTAATTGTAATTTAATAAATCCTTTTGTACGTTTTACAATTGCACTTAATAAGGCCTGCATATGTTGTAAAATTTACATAAATATGGATTATGGATGAAAATTGATAAAATAAAAGAACTTACACGTATATTTAGAAAAATGACTGCATCAAGAATATGAACATTTACACCATGAAGCCATAAAATATGCACATAATGAGCAAGAGCCATTAGCAAACTCATCATCTCCAGTAAAAACCCTAAATTACGTGATAAAACACTTTTCCATTCCCACATTGCACCTGTTTTATAAGAATAATTGTAATAAGTAATAACCACAAAAATATAATCATATCATATATGATATTATAGATTATAAATTGATAAATCTTGCCTGCTGATGATATATCAATAAGTTTTGACATTTTGGAATTTGTAGAGGTGCCTGTTGAGTGATATTTCCATATATCAAGGAGTTGAAATCCATGGGCTAAAATAGCCTGTGAAAAAGGAAAGAAATGAGTTAATAATCAAATTCAGAAATATATAAATAAAAAGATATGCACCTGTAGTGTCTCAAAAGCAATACTGAGAGGCTCAAAGAATAATAACAAATCCAGAGATGATGGTGTTGTATGGTAGATAAGCAGACATATTCTTATCCTGAAAGTAGCACTAAAGAACATGAGAAAGATCAAATGAGGATGTAAATAAATACATTTAAAAGTGTAGGTTTCTTGGAATCCGTGTATAGAAACAAAATGACTAATGTAGCCCTATATACCAGACCACATCAACTGAGATAACCAGTAATAAAACACAGTAAACACGAAAGTAAGATCGGGGAGTTGCAGAAGGAGATGAATTCAAGGATTGAAGGCGATCCCTTGCTAAAGATTGAAACATCTGAAAAAACATGAAAGATAAAAAGTTAAAAAACAAGATAAAACATTTGTCACATGTTATAAAAGAATACCTTCAAAGAGCTCAATACAATCAACCATGTTGACCATGATCCAACTTGAATAACTGTTGGAGGGACTACCAATGGAAGGAACATTCCCTGAATCACAATCAGATAGCAACAATCAGAAATTGATTACAATGTCATATGCCATACGTCAAGAATCACAATCAGAATATACTTCACAGATGACTGATTCTACCTTGTACATAACATAATTAACCAATTGCTCCAACAGCTTCCGAGATTCAAATGCATGAAGCTCCCCAAAAAATATTGTCTGCATGAAGAAATTAGAATCTAGAAACCATCATCAAAGAATCAAAATACAAGATAAATGTGAGTGCTATGATGTTGAATACCTTAAGAGATAGGATGATGAGTAGATATATGTTGATGACAAAATTGGCTACAAGTGCAATTGTGGAATTAGAACTTAAAAGAAGCAGCTCTAGTGCATGGGTGGCATCTTCAGGGTGAAGAAGAATGTTTCTGTTTAAACCATCTGACTTGAGTTCTGTAAGTGAAGGTTCTGTCCAATAATGGAGGGTTGTAATGCTCAACACTGTGAAGATTGCTGAAACTGGTAAGTAGCTTACACCCATGATATACTACAATGAAACCAGAGTTCCAGGATTTCATGAGATAAATGAATTGATCACAGTGTGCAAAAAGACATGAAGAAGCACACAAACTATAATTTAGTTTGTACACCTTCCATCAAAACCCTTTGAATCCTGGAACAGAGTCTTGATTTCTGTAATCTCTGTCATTGATACTGCAACAATTAGTAAATTAGACAGGAAATGAAGAAACGAAAGCATAAATGATACATTTAACAATTATATTACTTGTAATCAATAAAGTCATTTCAAATTTGAACATACGAAATTAGGTTCAACAGTTCAATCTGATCGTATATACACAGAAGTTGACCTCACAACAACTGAACTTATATACAAGTTCAAACAAAGAATCCAACGTGGAGACTTGAGAGAAAGACAAAATTGTAGCATTAAGTACAATTGTCGATTCCTACACTCAAATGGCAACCTAGAAACCCTAGAATTGCTAACAAAATTACGAAATTATCGATATAATAAACAAATGATATAACTGACGTAACATGTATATAAAGATATGGGAAAAAGAATTTACATGGACATTTCTGTAAGACGGATGAACAAGCAGATGATCAGCAGATGCGTGTGCTGATGAACTGATTGCAGATAAAATTCTAAATACTGCAATATTCATTCATCGTGAAACCAGGCACACATGATAATCGTCTTGGGTGTCAAACACGTCCCGATCTAAGACCACGACGTGAAATCTTCGGTGGAAAATTCTGTATCTTGGCCTCGCGCACAACAACGATCGAGAAATCGACCAAATTTTGCGGGAAAAGATGAAAGAATAAAAGTTGATGAATTTTGCAATAAAATATCTCAAAAAAGAAATCCTTGCATTATTGACAATAATTATTTGATTTATAATCGTGCATTTCTAACTTAAAGTGTTGTTAATAATTTTGTTAGTAGAATATAATCTACTTCTTAAAGATAAGAAAAGACAATTTAAAACTTATTTAACAATGTTGTTATAATATTTGAGGTATTTTTTTTATTTATATTTAGATAAACCGTTTAACGTATACAAGTGAGATCATAGAGAATACATATTTGTATAAGATTTGTTTATTCTAAATTCAACAAATGGTAGGGTCAAGTAGTCATGTTTGGATGGAAATGTCTTGACAAAAAATACGAGATTCTTTTCTAATAAATGAAAGTGTCATATTTTCATTTAAATTGCTAAATGTTATTTTATGGTTAATTTGAATTATTTTCCACATGTCATTTTATGTCATTTTATGAGTTTTTGTATTTTAATAAATTATCCATTATACTTTAATGTAATATTACAATAAATTGAGTAATAAATGAATATCAATTTCATTAATGGATTTATCTTTTTATTTCAAAATTCTTAAATTAAAACTCATTAGTTTATTTTGTTTTATTTATTTAACTTTAAAAGATAAAAAAATCAATTTTAATAATTCATTATTTTTCTTATTCTCTTATAAATCTAAAGTACTTAAATATTTAAAACTTTATATATATATTTTTTAATTAACCCATGTAATACATGAGTCTTATACCTAGTAACATAATAGAGTGAAATTGAATAAGGCTATAAGGAGTGTAGATAGTCAAGAGTGAGATGGAGCCTATTTGGCATAACAAACACTACCCCTACCCCTGGTGCATGTCATGACAAATCGACAAAGAATCTCGACAATGGCTTGTCGTTTCTCTTTCTTATGCTTGTCGTTTTTTATTTCTCTCCTTTCTTGCCACTATTTTTCTTCTCCTTGTCATGTACACCATTCCTTTTGCTTGGCAAACATGGTAGCAAAACTGAGGTACGTGTGGCATGGCAAACACCACTCTTTTCAATCTAAATCAAAATTTGTGACATCCCCATTTTCACGGCCAGAAAAGACCGATTTTGTTTATGCTTTATAAAAATCAGAGTACCCTTTTTAATAAAAATGTTGCGGAATTTGTTCCCAGTAAAACATGATAAATACATTATCAAGGCATTTCCGAAGAAAAGTATTTTTATTCATTTTAAAACATTTGGGATGTCATCGTCAATACAGAAACATAAGCATAAACAGAACTTACATTCATTATCACTAGTGATTTATATCTCCTCAATCTCTCAGTGTAATGTGACTTCATATCAACACCTGTGATATAAATAAACCGAGTGGGTCAGGTTGGGAAACCTGGTGAGTACATAGGGTTTTCAACCCACAATAATATAATCATTATGTTTAATCATCAAACAATCAATCAACCCAATTACTCATCCCTATTATCTTATTTACTATTAAGGATCTATCATAAGAATCAGTTATTCCTCGTTCATTCATTCCTAAGGATTATCCTAAGGAATAGGCACGAAATCCATCTTTACTAATGACACATCTGTCAAGCACAGCTACTAATATTATCACTTAGGCGCAGCTGCCAGAATTGTGACATTCCTTATGAGGCGCATCTGCCGGTATTGTCCTTTAGGCGCATCTGTGGGGGTTATAAGGTTCTCTATTAGGCACTTCTGCCGGTAGAGTCCTTTAGGCGCATCTGTCAGGGTTATCTCGTTTATTGACAGTATCGTTTCCTAGAATCCACTCGCAATACATGTCAATGGGTTTTTATCTCGTTTATCGACAGTATCGTTTCCGAGAATCCACTCGCAATACATGCCAATGGGTTTTTAGAGTACAGCTGGTGGATACACAGTTCAAATAACACCTACAGGTTGCGAGCATGCTAGTGTTCCACTGGACTGTCTAGAATAGTCTGTGGTTGTCATCCATACTCTGCTAGATGACGGGGCCAACACTTGGGTAAAAGGCTTCTCTCATGGTTCACCTCTCACCCTTATCTCATGGTCTATATCACCTCTCATCATTTTTTTGGCACACAACAACTATATCATCTACCCATGTTTTACCCAACACATTTTGTAGATATAAAATACATATACAGTTTAAATCATTTAAAACATGTATAAAAATCTTTCACCCAGCATAGACGGCAAGTATACAGACAATATGCACACATAGCATGTAAAGTAACTATGCACTCACCTGATAAGGTGGTCACTTGGTATTCGGACATCGCTTCGTTAATCTTAAAACAATTTCCCTCGGACAAAACCTAGTATCATTACCACTAGAGTTTAGTCTAATGTTTGACGAGACTAATTAATAGTCTTGTTATTATTACTGTTATATAAGCGTTAAACAATACTCTTCACCCACTATGTACAGACAGGGGCCAGACATGAAACACCGGAGGGCAGGATCATTTTGGCATATAGCACTTCTGAATCCAGCAACCCAAGCGACCCTCCAAACCAGATTCCCCGTACCGCGAGTGGTTAAAAAGATATTATAACGACACTTATATAACTCCTAATAATAGCCCAAATACTCATTATAAGTTCCTAATAACATTACTATATTGAAACATAAGCTATACTAAAGATAGGTTAGACGTAGCTCACTTACAGCGGGTTTTCTCGAAAACCGGGCTCCGCCGGAGCAGAGTTTCTGAGCCGAAGGGCTCTTTTCTCAGGGCTTCCTTCGGGTGCTAGGGGGTTTACCTAGACTTTAGGGGGGGTTTTGGCCTTAGAGAGAGAAAGTAGAGAGAGAAAGTGAGTTTGGGAAGGTGTGAGAATGAAGGGAACCTGACACCTCTATTTATAGTGAGGCTGGCAGCTCTACTCGTCGAGTCCATGCCACATGTCACCTTCTGGTGGCTAGCCTTGGGGAGGAAGCAACGGCTAGGATTTCGCCACGTCACCCGATTTCGCACAACAGCCTCCCGACTTAGAAAAATCATAACTCTCGCATACGAGCTCCGTTTTTGACGTTCTTTATATCCACGCGTAGGTAAAAACAAGATCTAAAACTTTAATTTAGACTATGTCGGCTAATTCTTGACCGATTTTAAATTTAACAGTAGGAGGAGATTATATTGTTAAATGTCCGCGTAAAATTCATAACTTCTACATACGGACTCCGTTTTCGTTTGTCTTTTTATCGTTGAGTTCCTATTAATGAGATATTCAACTCTCATTTAGGTCGCGTAGGCCAAAAACCGCTCGAACTAAAATTCGAGTTTCGGGTCGTGCACTGCTATGCCAAATCTTAGAAAATTCATAACTTCCTCATACGAAGTCAGATTTGGGCGTTCTTTTTTTGTATGTTCTCGTTTTAACGTATACTACAACTTTTGTTTAGATTACTAAGGCTAAAAAGTCCTATATCGTAAATTCACTATTTACGTCTCCCGGTGTCGTGCCGGTTTTGTCGTAAAACTTCGACGGGCATAACTTCTTCGTTATAACTCGGATTTTGGCGTTATTTATATGTACGGAGCCCTTGTAACATATACTACTCGGTTAAGATTAATCCTTATAAATAATCTTCCATCAAAAACTCATTTTGATGCTTATTGTCTCTAATTTAACTAGCCCGGATCTGCGGGAGTTACAAAATTTGCTCGAGTTAACAATTTGATGAGTAACTGTTTGATAATTATTCAATTTAATTAGTTGCAATTTTCCTATAGTGCAAATAGGTACATTTGTAAGGGAAAAAGGAATAGAAACTGAAATGTATGAAAACATAATAAGTAAACCAAAAATATGGTTGAGACGAGTGATGGACATGATTCTCATGAAGCATATTTGCATACCTGTGTTTGTTTTCCATGATACAATAACATTGGCAGTTTGTACTTTGTCCTGTCAGATTTGAACCAAAACCCTTTCGAAAATAACTCGCTTAATAATTTTTATAACCTGTGGATTGCTCTCAATTGTGCTTCACTTAGGGAGGAGGGAGTCATTCTCTCCCAACCCACTGAACTCACTATCACATCATTTTTTGTCTCTCATTTTTTCATCTTTTCCAACCCACAACACACGGAAATCTTAACTTTCTCAACACACTCAACCCACTCGATTAAAAAAAATATAAAACAACTAAGGTACAAGTTTTAAAACACATGGTACAAGAGAAAATGAGAGAGAGAAAGTAGAGAGAGAAAGGATGAAGTGGGTTAGTGAAACCAGTTAAACAACCAGCTGAAGAGGAAGTGGTACCGACGGTAACTCTATTGCTAATTAAGATTTTATCTTGATTATTTTGTATTTTTTTAATTGAATGGGTTGAGTGAGTTGAAAAAGATAGAGTTATGAAACACACAGTTTACTCCAAATCAAAGGACAATTTATGTAATTTACTCATTAAAAAAAAACACTTATTACTAAAATTCTGGATGAATGACTTAATTGTAATAAAAACTTGACATGAGGTTAGAAGTGCAAAGTTACCTTTTCAAATTATCTTATTAAGAAGCCCAGGGACTTATATATGTAATCCATACAAAGACCACTGTAAAAGGGAAATAACTCAATAAGCGACAAGATTACCATTATACCCTAAAATGCGTTGGGGATTTGATTTGCACCAAAATATATACTCCACGGCGTCGCTACGGGAGGCGTTTCCATCTTCGAGAACCTTCTTCTCCTACAAACCCTACCGGAAAACGCAGAAGCTTAAGAGAAAAAAAAGGGGGTTAGATCTCAATCATCGTATCATTTCACTAATAATCGCCAAATCACACAAATCTCAAATCCTAGGCGGAGGCATGGGAATCATAAGAAGCTCTTTTCCATTCATGCTAGGAACAGTGTGTGGCGTATACATTGCTCAGAACTACAACGTTCCAAATATCAACAAGCTCGCAGATTGCGCTGTTTCAATGGCGAAGCAAATGGAGCAAAGGTATCGCAAACCTAAGAAACCCGACGACGACGACAACTTTTAGTATTCGCAGGTCTTCCTATCACTCTTGATGTTTATTAAACTGTTTGATTAACAATGGAATTCCAAGATATAGTTTTTTTATACGAATTCTCGTTCGACAAGATGAATATATACAGTCTTGTTCATGTAAAAAATCTCATTTTGATGATCAATTTTCCAATTGAATAAATTATTAATTGACCGGATACTTGCCTACTCAAATACTCCATTGACATGCAATTATCTGCTATTGCTTAATTGTTACATGTTAAAGTTGTTGAATTCTTTGACTGTGTTTGATATCCCTGCTGTATCTATATGTTATGGCTGAATTAACAAAAGCCTCAAGGACATGGATGCTCATGGAAGTGGGAACAGAGTGCAATACCTTGATCAAATTTATCTCCCCATTTTGAAGGGAAGAAGATTTTGAGAGGGATCTTGCTTGTAGTTCCTTTATTTAAATCACAAACAACCAATACTTCAAACTTTTTAACATCTAATAGCACGTCTATTTCCTTCTCTATTTAGGAGAGTCCACATATGAGTTTTGAAGGAAATATGTTAGGGCTATACGCTATATGTATGGGTGGTCATCTTTGAAGTTTGAACCCTAATCGGTTAAAAAGAGCCTTTCCCCATCCTCATGGGGAAATAGGGTTCCATAAGAGATTGGTACTTTTTCATATACATTTTTGCCTCAATTTTGAATGAGATTTAGAGAGGAGTATTTTCCAAGATGTATGCTTTTTGTTGATCACATTGTGTTGAATGATAGGTTGGATATTTGGAGGATGATGTTGGAATAATAAAAAAAAGTTACAAATTAGTAAAATTAAGACGGAATATCTTTGGTGCAATTTCAGTAAGGAGTGTAACGAGGAGGAAGTAGAAGTCTATATCTTTGGGGTGGGTCTATGATCCGTAAGGAAAGGGATGTAAAGAAACCATAGTTGAGTTTGTTTCATAATTTTTTTCTACACAGATGTCAAACCTGCCAACATACAAAAATCTTATACGTACAGGCTGTTTTTGTAAAAAAAAAAAAAAAAAAAAAAAAAGAAAAAAACTTTATAGGGACCTTTTCTGTAAATTTAAAAATTACAGGAACTAAATCTGCCAAAATATAAAACCTTTGTTGCAAGGACTAAATCTACCAAAATCTGAAACTTGGCAAAAGTCCAAGACTCCAAAAGAATACTGTTCATTGGGGCTTTACTTTTTATTCTATAGAGTAATATTCTTATTTAGAATTTTCCTTTTTAAAAGTTTTATTTTATCAAATTTATTTTCTATATTTTTACATATTCGTTTTCATGTATGTATGTTGTGAAACCATATAGAGATTACTTTCTTTCAAATATCCGTCTTCACAAACCGATATGCATTTTCATTTATAAATATTCATAATCCTAATGTAATTTACGTTCTTGCTATAGTTAGTAGGGTTTTCAAAGTACAATGCTATAACTTTGTATGTGTTTGTGGTTGTATGTGTTATTGTGTATCTTTGCATTTGATGTGACTAAGTATGTTAGTATGTGTGACTTTTCGTGTGTTTGAATGGTTGTGTATGTGTGTGGCAAAAACAAAGTCTTTACTAAAAATATTGCTTCAACTCTCGCAGGCTTAAATGTTTGGGCTTCTGCCATATTCTGTCAAATGTTATTTTTTTTTTCCAATGATGCTTTAAGTTGGACATGTTGGATTGGGTATGAACAAGAGGAATATCAACCATATTATTTTTATGCATTAGTTTTGGGACCCACACAATACGATATCATAGTTTGTGGCGTCTAAGCAAACCCTATAATCAGTTTAAAAAATGACACCAATGCAATGTTGCACTTTTCGCTTTTTTGTTTGTTTATCCTCAAATTCTCACAGCCACACTTACGTTGTAACTCTTATGTCAATAAAGTAGGCGAAGTTTCTGTTGATTGCTACATTTTGAAAGCAAATTTGGTTTTATTAGCTTTATTGGCTCAAAAGTTTTTTAATTTTTTATTTTTATTGCTTGGATGGCATATTGTTTAAGAGAATATAAAGCTAGTGGCTGCTTAGTATGAAGCCGATACTCTTTTCCATTCGTGGCCTTAAATGTAGCACCTGTAAAAAGTGCTTAAAATAGTGTAGTACTAAAAGTGTAGTTCAAAACATTCAAATGACATAAACCTGCGAAAGCATCCCAAAAATAATAAGAAATTTTAAAACATGACAGAACAATATATATATATATATATATATATATATATATATATATATATATATATATATATTATATATATATATATATATACATTACAGCCCCACCTAATCTTAGGTACTAAACCTCTAAATTATGCAGTTTTATCTTAGTAAATATAACCGATTTAGTTTTCATTCGGTAAATATACATTTCCCCATTGCATTTCTTTCCTCTATTATCGTTTAACCATCCATGTTTTCTTTCCTCCGTTATCATTTATTACTTCACGTCAGTAAACATTACTGTTTTCCATCATCACGAAGGTCAAAGATAATTAACATTTTTGCTTCCCTTCAAAATTATTGCTTCAATATTGAGAGGGTGTTTGGCATAACTTTTAAACTGACTTTTTAGTTTTATCTTTTTCTAAAAGTCAAAAAGATGTTTGGTAATCCTGACTTTTCCAACTTTTTCAATAGAGTAAAGGACATCTTTTTGAAAAGTTACGTAATCCTGACTTTTCCAACTTTTACAAAAATGACTTTTTGGCTTTCAAAAGCTAAGCCAAACACCCTCTGAATCTACAACATCAACTATTAATTATGAATCCCTAATTACAATCTTTAGCTAATAAAACGACGTAGTTCAATGAGATTTAGTACCTAAGCTTAGGTGGGGCTGTAATATATATTCATTTTCCCATATATATTAGATATATATATATATATAGATATATATATATATATATATATATATATAGTACCTAAGCTTAGGTGGGGCTGTAATATATTCATTTTTCCCATATATATATATATATATATATATATATATATATATATATATATATATATATATATATATATATATATCCAAAGGACTTTTTTTGTGACTTAATAAGCTTAATTGTTAAACACTTAATCTGAACAACTATACAAGGTTGTTTCTTTATGACTTAAGCTTGGACATAATGACTTAATTGGTTAAGCCAAATAAATTTGGTTAATGTATTAAGACACAGACCGTTTATCTATTTGCCCTTTCTTCCTTCCAACTCATATAACGTTAAAATTGATGAATTTTATATTTTTTTGGAATGTAAGGGTAAAATAGTCATTTAGTCTTCATTCAGATAGTTCATATATATATATATATATATATATATATATATATATATATATAGGTTTAGGTTCTACGGAAAACAAAAAACCCTAAAAAAAACCCTAAAAATCATAAAAATGCATAAACAAAATACTTAGGAATCACAAAACTTTTTTTTGAATTTTTTTATAAAAAATCGCAGCTTTTTATTAAAATTCGCTGAAAAAAAAAATCAATTTTTTTTTATAAAAAAAAAAAATTTCAAAATTTTTTTCAGCGAATTTAATTAAAAACCTGCGATTTTTTCATAAAAAATGTCAAAAAAACGTTTTGTGATCTATATATATATATATATATATATATATATATATATATATATATATATATATATATATATATATATATATATATATTTTGTTGTTTCTTTATGACTTAAGCGACAACATAATGACTTAATTGGTTAAACAAAAAAACCTAGTTAATTTATTAAGACATCAACATTTTATATTTTTATCCTTCTTTGGTCCTCTCAATTCATATAATATTAAAATGGATAATATTATAGAATTTGTATTTTGAAATGTAAAGATAATATGGTCATTGAGTCTCATTCAAACAATTTATTTATTTGTTTGTTTGTTTATTTATTTATTTATTATTATTATTATTTTTTATTTTTTTTTTTTTTTTTTTTTTTTTTTTTTTTGGCAGAAGTTGGATACAACTACATTCCCATAGATGGCTACTTTGCAAAAGTTGGATACAACTCTATTACCTATAGATGGCTACTTTACTAACATCAGGACCACACTAAAGAAATAGACTATATATATAACAATTTGCCAAGCTTGAGTAAAGTCGCATTCATTCAAAAGATTAAATACAAAATCGATTTATAATCACATACACATAATATCACATGTATTTACAAAAATACCATCAGAAGCAATCACACTTCAACTAAAGGAGACCTCCGAATACTAATCGAACCCCGTCTCGAATCTTCCCATTTCGATGCTATTTCCGCCACCACGAGTCTAGTAAGAAACAACCCCGCCACAAATGCCGCCACCATAAGCATGGTAAAAACCGCACTCCAGCTCCGGGTTGAAATGTAACCCGTGAGCAACGGCCCGATCGCAGCACCGATTGAGCCCGTTCCGTCAATTATTGCAGTGACGGTCGCAAGGGCCCGAGAGTTACCTCTCAGGGACCGGTGGGTCCCGAGGTCAGTCGAGACCGCAGTTGTTATGAGAGCGTAGGGCCCATTTACAAACATGCCCGTGATTAACATTAGAATAATGTTTATAGTCATGGACACGTGTCCATAGTTTCGGTAGAAATACAGAGCTGGAATAGCACAATACATGAAGCTTGCTGCTGTGATGGCTCGAGCATTTAATCGGTCGGAAATGTGTCCAGCTAGGATTCCTCCCACAACTCCCCCTACGTCGAATAATGTAGATAGATTGCCCGCAGCCACGTCAGATAAGTATTCACCATCTATGGCTGCAAAAATCACACAAACTTCAACATTGTGATTTGTTGGCTAAAATTAAATGAGTTATTATGTTCCATATGTAGTGTAAAAAGGTGCAAGTCAAATTTTGAGAGATTAGTCTATGTGATTGTAATAATTTGTCATATAGTGAAAAATGTTTTCTGGTTTTGGAGTTTTCCACGTATATTCTTGTGTAAAATGGGAGCCAATACAGATACGTGAAATTTTGAAAACAAGTTTACCTGTGTGACTGATGTAAAACGGGAGCCAATACAAAAACGTATAAGCAACCAACTTTGCAAAAAAGAGGCAAAATGCAAACGGGGCAACCCCGGGTATCTTCCATGCTTCTATAAACCCCACGGGTGATTCTTTCTCTTTCTGGATGTTTGCCTTTGAGCTCAATAGAGGTTTAGTGACTTCAGCCCCTATTTTTTCAACCGATTTATCTCCATCTCCATCTCCATCTCCATCAACTCCTACTGATTCAGGATCAACAGGCAGAAACAAGAACACCAACAAACCAACGATAGTAATCATTAAACCAGGAACAACCATCGACCAACCCCAACCATATTTTAAGAAATAAGAAGCAATCAATGATCCGGTTATATTCCCTATAGACGTATGAGCGTTCCATATACCCATTATGAGCCCTCGTTTACTCTTTCCAAACCAATTCCCAACAACTGCAACCACGGAAGGCCAACCCGTGGATTGAAACAACCCGGCTAGCATTTGAACTACCAAGTAATAGTAAAAGAAATGAATGTTTGCCCAATATCCAACTCCAAATAATGAAGTGAACAAACCGGTTCCAACCATTCCAATTGTCAAAAATACCCTTAGGTTCATTCGATCGCCTATATGGCCCGAGAAGAACATACCAATCGCGTATACAAATAGGAACGCCAAGTCAAGATCTCCAAGCAATCCGGTCCCGTTTGATCCGTTAAATGGGGCCCACCCGCTTCCTAACAACCACGAAAGTAAGGAGATGGATTGTAGGGTGTCGTTTGGAGACTGAGATTGAGGATCAAGTGAGCTTTTTATGATGCTTGTGGTTTTTCGAGCTGCATGATAGCTCGCGTAAGCTAAAAATGTGATGATTAGGACTATGGATTGGTGTGTTTTGTATGAGAGGGTTGAGTTTTTGGTATATTCTATGAATTGGATTCCTTGTGGTTTGGTTTTGATTATGTTTTGTTCGTTTTCCGGGTTTGAAATCGAACCCATTGATGAATTTGTCATTAAGAATTCACCTGAAACACAAAGAAAATTTTGATATTAAATTATGAAGCAAACTTAAAGGGGGAAGTTGGCTTTTAGAGTCTAGCAAAAGCTTAAAGAAGACTATGGCTTTTTTTAGTTGTTGTCATGTGTAGCATGTTTTTTAGTTGAATTTGTTTTATTAAGTACCAATTTAATCAGAAGGATGCAAAAAGTTACAGCCTATATTAAGTCTGGATATTCAACTTAATCAAATGCCTAATTTATTAACCATAAATAGTAAAAACATCACAATGATTTTTTTATAATTTATAATAAAATGCTTACATTACAAATAGAAACATGAAACAGAACTATTGAAACGGTAACTTTTTAGTTATCGCATAAATCAAAACATCATCGAATGGTATGAAATTTGAAAATCATCAAGTTGATGATATGATATGATCTGATCTATCCATTTTAAATTTAAATTTAAGATAATTGGATAGCGGATTTGCTCTCTAAAGCAAACAATTAACAAAAATCCAGAAAACTTCATCTTCGTTCATACTTCTGAACTACAAATCAAGATATCCTCTAGATATCTATCGAAGAAAACGACAACAAGCATAAGAAGACAAGGAAGAAGAGGAATTCGAGGTTAAGCCATAAAAGATTAGTTTGAATTGAACTCGTTTTTGTAAAACATTCAAAAATCAAAACGATCAGAAGATGAAGATGTAAACGCGAATATCATCACAATTCAAACACAGAATCGATGACGATAGTACAAGAGATTACGAAGTTTTTTCAAAGAAGAATCATAAAATTGTACCTGCTTATCAGCTTTTTTGACGAATCGATTGAGGAAATTGATGGTTTTGGGTTGTGTCAGGTTTGCTACTTTGGGAGTTGCTTTACCCTGTTTTTTCGCTGTGGTGTGACTTGTGAGAGTCGACATGAACAACCCGGGATTCAATTTTATAGTGCAGTTTCTTACAGATGTGAAATTACGGTAATGCCCCTTTATAATTATTACTTTGTCAATTTGTCAATGAAGGAGTTAATGTGGCTCACGCCCACTTAGCGTCAAGAAGTATGCTCAAGGGTGAAATCGGTAAATGGCAATTCGCGTGATTGCATGATAATAAATTAATAATGTCGTTGAACAAACGACGTAAAAGCAGGTTTTTCTTTTTCCATTTAAAAGCATATAAGGTTATTTTTTTTTCAAAGAACTACTAATTTGTCCGTTTCATGTTAATCTGTTTTGTAAGTTGAATTTTGACTATTATATTGATAAAACTTAATTACTGTTGTATTTGTTTGTAGATAAAAATATCCAAGATCTTTACCTTCGACTAACTTTAATTTATACCGTTGTATAAAAACATATTATATGTGACCAAAGTCATATGTAGAAAATGTACATAAAAATAAACATGAAAACGTACACAAAATTTACATCGAAACATAAAAAAAACTTGATTTTATATCGAAACGTACATAAAATGAAGTATTTGAACTGAATCATACGTATGAAACATACGTAAAAATAAGCACGTAAACGTAATTTACGTTGAAAGTACACAAACTCGAATGTATAAGGACACATACGTATAAAAAAGCAAGTCAATTTTTTTTAAAAAATTTAACGAACGAAAGTTCTAAATATACGTGGAAACATTGACTACCTCAAATTTATACCGATACATACATAAAAATAAGCATGTAAAATATTATTGCACTTGTTGGTAGATAAATATACAAGGTTGAGATCATTGAAAAAATGTATCATTGTACTGATAAAATGTATTATATGTGCCCGAACTCATATGTAGAAAATGTACATTAAAATAAGCAGAAAAACATACACAAAATTTAAGTCGACACGTAATGAAACTCGAATTTATATCGACACATACATAAAAAAAAGCAATATTTTTTCAGGTAACAAACGGAAGTTGTATTATTTATGATTCGACTCATTCGTAGGAAACGTACATAAAATGACAGCGGAACGTAAAAAAGATTGACGTCGAAACGTAGACAAACTCGAATTTATAAAGTATTTTAAAAATATATAAATGAAAACTGTAATTTTAGAAATTATATGGGTAAAAAATATTATTTTATAAAGTATTTTAAAAAATGTATGGGGTAAATATTTTCACTTTAGAAAGTATAAAAATATCTGGATAAAAACTGTCATTAAAAAATATAAGTGTAAAAATATCATTTTACAAAGTAAAAAAAATAAAAACATAAAAGGCAAAAACTATGACTTTAGAAATTATACTGTAGGAAACGTCGGTAGAAAATACTGCTATGTTGCCTTTTAATGTTTATATAAGAGTTATTTGTGAGAATATAAAAAGAAAAAAAAATACATAAAATTTTCCAGTAGACTTATATGTATTGAAAACATCTTTTAGGCTTAGATGATATAATGAAACTTGTGTACAAGTTTAATAACAAATCTTTTGTATGAAATGTTAGATATTAAAAATGTTACAAAAATTTAAAGGGTAAACGAGCAATAAGCTCCATTATAACATATTTTTTAGATAACAAAATTAACTTTTTTAAAAATCACATCTGGATCTAAGAATCACAAAATTATTATTCATGATTCGTTGGAATCTATTGAAAAGTTTACTAACATCTAAGACAATCATAAGGGTTGCACGGAAAAATTAGTGGTTGCATGGTAATAGAAAAAATAAAAATTTCGAGAACTTTTAAAAAAAATTTCACTGCGGCCGGAAAAGTCAGGGGTTGTCGGTGTTCCTAGCTCCGCCCTTGACAATCATGCACAATTTCTCAATAAATGTGGTTTTTTCGATTGTACAAAATAACAAGTTATTGTAATCTGGTTTTTTCAATTATAAACATCATTTTACTTGACAAAATAATTTATTATAGCGTAAAAGCAATCCGTTGAAAGTTGTTGAGGTTGAATAATTATTTTGGAACGAACACGCTGATGTGATCTAATAAAAGACGTTGGCATGATGCTTAATATTTTTAAATACACATGGCTCTCACTAAGATTGTGCAAACAATATAAAATCATTTGAGACTGAGAATTTTTGTTTTGTTTTTTTTTTTTTTTTTTTTTTTTTATCTTTCCAATTTTAATAAAATGCACACCAGCATGTCTTTTGCCACTCATAATAATAATATAGAGGGTGACTGGAAATTTGGTGACAACATCATTTTTTTTTTCAACAAATAAAGTTTGAAGGGATTGTTTTAAATTTCGATTGTTAAATTTTCTTTGTAAATGGTTTGTATATAGGAACTGCAAACTCGATATTAGTTGGGTTTCGTGGTTGAAAAACTATATTATGGCATCACCTTTGTAATCTTTGTTCTTTTTCACGTTAGTTGTTGTTAACATGCACAATCTATACATATGTTCAATAAAAAATCTATTGCAGCTAAAGGAGATGAGATCCAAACCGATACGACTCAAAAACATGTGAAACAATGTAACGTTTGGTTCCTGGTATGCATTTAAACTTATAATTTATTCATGTTTACAGAGCAACTCGGCGAGTTGGAAGCCCCAGACTTGTCGAGTAGAGATGTTTTGGACCGCGCGTTTTAGTGACCAACTCGACGAGTTGGCAGGCAGATAGGAAACTCTAATTTTCGGGGTTTGCACCTTATTTAAACAACTTAAGTCCTAGGGTTTAGTCTCATTTCCAGCCTCCAAGTCCCTAAACCCTATCCTCGAAAACCCTAAAGCCATTTGAGTGTTGAGAGCCATTTGTAAGTGTTGAAGCCATTGGAAGAATGAAAAGCTTGAAGACACAAGAAGGAGCTACTAGATCCAGAATCCTTGTCTCATCCACGACATTTTGCTGGTATAAAGCTTGAACCTTGCATTGTGGTCATTTAGATCTCCATTTTTTAGTTATTTGCTTGCTTTTGGTCCAAATGATATGATTCTTGGGATTTGGACGTCTCAAATGGAGAATACTTCAAATCTAGGGTCTTGAGGGGTTTTCATGGCATAAAGGTGTAAGCTTTATGGTTATGGAAGTCACATGCAACCTTTAAAGATAACAATATAATCGTTTATATAAAGTTATTTTTAACTATTGTTATTGTAAGTTATTTTAAGCTACTTATTTGAAAACTTTTAACGATTATAAAAATATTTTTAGGAAATATTTTAGTTAAATTGATATTACGATTTAATTTTTGGGTTTTTTAAGTGAAACTGAAATTGATATTGAAGTTGACCCTGTAATGTTATATTTAAATTAACAATTTAAGTATTTTGTCCAAACTGTTCAAAAGTTGTAGTTTTAAACTGATAATGGTTTATATACAACATATTAAATCTAATAAATTAAGTATAATATATTAAAAGTTAAAGACATAACTTTATAAGTAGAAGTAAAAATATTATTTTAATATTGAAATTTAGTTTATTTATGATTACACTTTAGGTTTGATATTTATTTAACCTTATTAACCAACTTATAATCATTATTAGAAAGATACTACAATTTATCACTTTTAACTATTTACAAAATATTTTTAGGTTGTTTAAGTTGAACTATAATTTATATTTAAGTTGATCTTGTAATGTTATATTTAAATTAACAATTTAAGTATTTTATACAAATTGTTCAAAAGTTGTAGCTTTAAAATGATAATGGTTTAGATACAACAACATATTACACCTAATAAATTAAGTATAATATGTTAAAAGTTAAAAACATAACTTTAAAAGTAGAAGAAAATATATTCTTTTATTATTGAAATTTAGTTTATATATGATTACACTTTAGGTTTTATATTTATTTAACCTTATTAACCAACTTATAATCATTATTAGAAAGAAAATTGAAAAGTCATGGAAGTTTCAAATGAATGTGATGAAAATGAAAAATGAATGGGAGTTTCAAATGAATGTGGTGAAAGAAAAAAAACTTCATTTATAATATACTATGATATGATATGATATGATGATATGATATGATATCTTTAACTTTTAACATATTATACTCAATTTTATTAGATTTAATATGTTGTTGTATGTAAACCATTATCAGTATAAAGCTAGAACTTTTGAACAGTTTGAACAAAATACTTAAGTTCTTAATTTAAATATAACATTACAGTGCGAACTTAAATATAAATTTCAGTTCCACTTAAAAAACTCAATAAATAGTTAAAAGTGATAAATTGTAGTTATGAATGCAAAAACTAAATTATAATCTCAATTTAACTAAAATATTTCCTAAAAATATTTTTATAATCGTTAAAAGTTTTTAAATAAGTTGCTTAAAATAACTTACAATAACAATAGTTAAAGATAATTCTATATAAATGATTATATTGTTATCTTTAAAATCAAAAAAAGAATGTTTGATGTTTTAAATAATTATAATGATAGAAATTAAAATGTTAAGCAAATAAATTTTAAAAAATTAATTAACATTAACAAAAACTATAAATAACATTAAACCATATATTCATTTAATTTTATTGATGAGTAACTCGCGGGTAGAAATCATTCAAACAGTTGAGATTGTGCAGTTATAATAGATGAATATATTATCATATAATTCAAAATAATCAATATATTATATAAATTTAGTATATGAATTATTATATCAAGTTTAACAACAACTTTATTGTTATATTTAAAAAAACATATATTTATAAATATTTCAACTATATATGTGTTTATGCGCAACGCGCGGACATTCGTTTAGTATACTTATAAAGGAAACATTTTTCCTTTCACCACATTCATTTGAAACTCCCATGACTTTTCAGTTTCTTTCTAATAATTATTATAAGTTGTTTAATAATGTTAAATAAATATCAAACCTAAAGTGTAATCATATATAAACTAAATTTCGATATTAAAATAATATCATTACATCCACTTATAAAGTTATGTCTTTAACTTTTAACATATT